GTAAGCCCCCAGCTCAGCTGATCCCCCCGGGGCTCAGGAGTAACCCCCAGCTCAGCTGATGCCCCCCAGGGGCTCAGGAGTCAGGAACCCCCAGCTCAGCTGATCCCCCGCTCAGGAGTAAACCCTAGCGATGTGCTTATCCCCCGCTCAGCCGATCCCGCGCTCAGTAGTAACTCCTCAGCTCAGCTGATGCCCCGCTCAGGAGTAGCCCCCAGCTCAGCTGATGCCCCGCTCAGGAGTAGCCCCCAGCTCAGCTGATGCCCCGCTCAGGAGTAGCCCCCAGCTCAGCTGATGCCCCGCTCAGGAGTAGCCCCCAGCTCAGCTGATGCCCCGCTCAGGAGTAGCCCCCAGCTCAGCCTGATGCCCCGCTCAGGAGTAGCCCCCAGCTCAGATGCCCCGCTCAGGAGTAGCCCCCAGCTCAGCGATGCCCCGCTCAGGAGTAGCCCCCAGCTCAGCTGATGCCCCGCTCAGGAGTAGCCCCCAGCTCAGCTGATGCCCCGCTCAGGAGTAGCCCCCAGCTCAGCTGATGCCCCGCTCAGGAGTAGCCCCCAGCTCAGCTGATGCCGGGGCTCAGGAGTAACCCCCAGCTCAGCTGATGCCCCGGGGCTCAGGAGTAGCCCCCAGCTCAGCTGATGCCCCGGGGCTCAGGAGTAGCCCCCAGCTCAGCTGATGCCCCGCTCAGGAGTAGCCCCCAGCTCAGCTGATGCCCCGGGGCTCAGGAGTAGCCCCCAGCTCAGCTGATGCCCCGGGGCTCAGGAGTAGCCCCCAGCTCAGCTGATGATGCCCCGGGGCTCAGGAGTACCCCCAGCTCAGCTGATGCCCGGGGCTCAGGAGTAGCCCCCAGCTCAGCCGATGCCCCGGGGCTCAGGAGTAACCCCCAGCTCAGCTGATGCCCCGGGGCTCAGGAGTAACCCCCAGCTCAGCGATGCCCCGGGGCTCAGGAGTAAGCCCCCAGCTCAGCCGATGCCCCGCTCAGGAGTAACCCCCAGCTCAGCTGATGCCCCGGGGCTCAGGAGTAACCCCCAGCTCAGCTGATGCCCCGGGGCTCAGGAGTAACCCCCAGCTCAGCTGATGCCCCGGGGCTCAGGAGTAACCCCCAGCTCAGCCGATGCCCCGGGGCTCAGGAGTAACCCCCAGCTCAGCTGATGCCCCGGGGCTCAGGAGTAACCCCCAGCTCAGCTGATGCCCCGGGGCTCAGGAGTAACCCCCAGCTCAGCTGATGCCCCGGGGCTCAGGAGTAACCCCCAGCTCAGCCTGATGCCCCGGGGCTCAGGAGTAACCCCCAGCTCAGCTGATGCCCCGGGGCTCAGGAGTAACCCCCAGCTCAGCCGATGCCCGGGGCTCAGGAGTAACCCCCAGCTCAGCTGATGCCCCGGGGCTCAGGAGTAACCCCCAGCTCAGCCTGATGCCCCGGGGCTCAGGAGTAACCCCCAGCTCATCTGCTAGTTGCTCCGCTCTGGTCCGAACCCCGCTCACCTTCCTGCTGCTCCACACTGCACACCAAGGGGTCATCAGAAACAGGTTGCAGGCACAGGATCGCTGAGGCCCTATTCACACCTTTGCGTCACATGCATTTGCATCTTTTGGCACAATTCGTTAGGCACCCATAGGCAGCCCATTTATGTGAATGGTCCGCCCTCTGCCCGGCAAACATGCCGAAGAAGCTGCAGCTGCTGGCAATGTTTAGGGCGCCATTAACGATCAATGGCACTGCAAACCCAACGCTCACTGTTGCACGTGAACATGGAACCCACCGATGTCAATGGAGCCTCAAGCAAGATTTAGACATGTTGTATTGGCAAGTGGTGGGCTGAAGCACTCAGGTGTTGTCAGGACAAAGAGAACCCCTTGCAGTGCTTGGGTGCCGGTTTTACTAGGCTATAGGTAACACAACCCCAAAAAGGCACAAAGCAACCTTGGAAATCCACCAAAAGTGATCAGGTTCTGGTTATGAGAGGCTGGCAGGAGCTTGCAGGGAAACTCTGGTGTAGAGGAGCAGAAGGCAGACTGGAGTGCAGATGGAGACACAGTAGTGAAGGAAAACTGGATTCTGGCAGAAGTGCAGTGGGTGCAGGGAGTAGGATACAAGCTGGGGAACATGAAGGTCACAGGAGCATGCTTGGGATCTGATCCTACATTGGTCAATGCATCCTATGACATCACACTAGCCCCTATACTGACCTCACAACAGCATAATTTTCTGTTTTAAATGTTATCTGTCTACAGGGAAACCTTCATAGATGACAGCGCCAATGAGGATGGAGGAGGACCGGAGTCACATGACTGAGAGGATACTAAACCTCACCCTGGAGATCATCTACCTGCTGACCGGAGAGGTGAGGAGGATTCTGGGAGGTCACATGACATCACTCTCATCTCTATTAATAAAACACAGACCTGACCGGAGAGGTGAGGAGGATTCTGGGAGGTCACATGACATCACTCTCATCTCTATTATAAAACACAGACCTGACTGGAGAGGTGAGGAGGATTCTGGGAGGGCACATGACATCACTCTCATCTCTATTAATAAAACGCAGACCTGACCGGAGAGGTGAGGAGGATTCTGGGAGGTCACATGACATCACACAGACCTGACCAGAGAGGTGAGGAGGATTCTGGGAGGTCACATGACATCACTCTTATCTCTATTAATAAAACACCGACCTGACCGGAGAGGTGAGGAGGATTCTGGGAGTCTAACATGATGTTTCTATTGGTTCCCCAATACAGAGATTTCCTCCTCTGAAGTCAGGTGATTATATGACCATCTCAGTGCCTCCATGTGACTCCCTAATCCCTGAGGGACACAACATGGAGAAGATTCTAGAAGTCACCAAGAAGATGATGGAGCTGCTGACAGGAGAGGTGAGCGGTGCCGGGGCTACAGGAACCCACCAGAGAGATGTCTCCATCCTCTGTATTCTTGGGATTCCACACAGGAAGGTCACACCATCCCTCACCATTACCACTTTGATGAATTATTACTGGTAGTTTTTAAGATTTTTTTAGATTTAAAACCACGCATGGTTGTTACAATAATTATTTTTTTTTGCATATTCAGGTTGGAAACCTCGAGGATTACAATATTGTTGTTAAAGAAGAGGACAATGAGGATGATGAGGAGTATGGAGTGATGGAGGAGTTTTCATATGGACAGGCGGAGGATATGATGGAGCCACTAATAGCAGGAACCCACCAGAGAGATGTCCCTGTCCTCTGTATTCCCGGGATTCCACACAGGAAGGTCACACCATCTTTCACCATCATCAGATAGATGGATCCAGTCTTGGGAACCCACCAGAGAGATGTCCCCATCCTCTGTATTCCCAGGATTCCACACAGGAAGGTCACACCATCCCTCACCATCATCAGGTAAGTGGAGTTGAGGGTCGGGAACATAAAGTGATGAAACACTCTGACATGTGGAGACGATGTGTGGACTCTACAAGATGAGATGTTCTATGTGATCTCACATCATAAATCCTTCTCTGTTACAGATGTTATTTTCTGCCATTCTGTTGGTTTAGGGTGAAGATCTGATGAACATGAAAGTTGAGGGTGAAGTAGAAGAGACGTATGTGAGGGATGATCAGCAATATACAGAGGAGGCTGGAATGAGGAGGACATTCATAGAGGAGGACACTCCTACAGAGATCAGCACAGGTGACCAGAAATATATTCTTCTTTATCTCTGCTCTGTTACCGCCCCTCCCCCCATCCCCCCCCCCCCCCCCCCCCCCCCCCCCCCCCCCCCCCATTGGTTCCTGCTCCTCTGACAAGGAGGTGTAAATGTAGAAGTGATCTGGGAGGACCAAAGGCTCTTTGAAGAGGGGAAGAGTCCCAGCTGGTTGGGACATCCACAGAGAACATCTGCTCCCTCCTATCTCCCTGATCCAGATGGAATCTTGATGGAAGTGAACTAACCCTCTCCTATCTATTGATGATGTTTTTTTCTATTTTTCCAGGACCCCGTCATGGGGAAACCCTCAAAGGATCGTCTCACTTTATCTCCAGGTTGTAAAATGGAAGATGAGGACATCCCAGGAGATTGTGCCGGAGAAAAGACAATGAGCTCCACTATGGATGGTGGATTCCCAGTGTGGAGAGACCATGGAGTCCCTCTGACTCTGAGAAACCTCGTACTGTGGGGGATGGGGCCGGGGTTCAGGGGCGGAAGAAATTTTCCTGCCTGGAATGTGAGGAAAGTTTTAGCTCTGAATTAAGTTTTACCGTCCATCAAAGATCTCATACAGGAGAAAAGCTCCATTCGTGCCCTGAGTGCGGAAAATGTTTTCTTTGTAAATCCAAGCTGGACATACATTATAGATCTCACACGGGGGAGAAGCCGTATTCCTGTGGTGAGTGCGGAAAATGTTTTTCAGAGAGATCCCATCTTTACAGGCATCAGAGATCTCACACTGGCGAGAACTTGTATTTCTGCTCTGAGTGCGGGAAATGTTATACACAAAAATCAGACCTTGTTATACATCAAAAAACCCACTCAGGTGATAATCCATATGCTTGCTCCGAGTGCGGAAGTTGTTTTCTGCGGAAATCAGAACTTGGTATACATAAAAGATCTCATACAGGGGAGAGGCCATATTCCTGTTCTGAGTGTAGGAAATGTTTTCCCGATAAGACCAGTTTTACCAAACATCAGAGGTTGCACACAAGGGAGCATTCCAATTCCTGCCCCGAATGCGGGAAATGTTACCCACAGAAATCAAAACTTGTTATACATCTCAGATCTCACACTGGCGAAAAGCCATATTCTTGCCCTGAGTGTGGAAAATGTTTTTCAGAAAGAGGCAGTCTTTCCAAACATCAGAGATTGCACACGGGGGGAGAAGCTGTATTCCTGCCCTGAGTGCGAGAAACGTTTCATAGGGAAATCAGAACTTGATAAACATCAAAGATCTCATATGGGGGCAAGGCCATATTCCTGTCCTGAGTGCAGGAAATGTTTTTCACAGAAGTCCCATCTTAACACACATCAGAAATCTCACATGAGCTGAAAACCCTATTCCTGCTCTGCGTCCGGGAAATGCTTTCCCACAGAAGTCTTGTCTTGCCAAACATCAGAGAACCTACGCCACCCTTGAGGTGCATTAGTGCCCTGAGTGTGGGAAATGTTTTCCCACAGAAGTCTAGTCTTGCCAGACATTGGAGAACTCCCACCACCCTCGAGGTGTATTCTTGTCCTGAGTGCGGAAAATGTCTTCTATATGGATGATAAGTTGCCATACATCAGAGATTTCACACTGGGAAGAAGCACACCTTGATATACACCTCAGAAAACACGTGGCTGAGCGCTCCTCTGATCTTTATCATGGAAGAAACACTTTATAAGGAGATCAGAGATCACTAAAGACTTCAACGTTGTGTCTGACTTCTTCTGCTAGGAGAGAGAAGGAGGGGGGGGGTCACTGCTGGTTTGGCCCCTCTAGCAGTGTAGTCTGATCTCCCCTGACCTTCAGCAGAAGCTTCCATGGAGGACATCATGGTGAGAGAGGAGCTAGATATTGCTTGTGGATGAAAAGAAGGGGAGATCAGACTGCACAGCAGGACCAGCAATTTCAGTGCAGTAATAGCCTGCACAGACCTCCACCTACTGTCTGAAAGTGGAAAATATGACATTTTTCGATGTAACAATTTATATTTTACCCACAACAGAATGCAAATTTTTTAACCTGTTTCAGTATAAAACTAATGACTATTAAATATCAGTATTCATAAACTCCCTTCTTCTATGCCTGGCTCTTCTCCTAGATGAGGGTCTGGTGTAGGTGTTAACCATTTCAATACCGTGCAATTTTACACCTTCCTGCCCAGGCCAGTTTTCAGGTTTCAGCGCTCTCGCACTTTGAATGACAATTGCGCGGTCATACAACATTGTACCCAAACTAAAATTTTATCATTTTCTTCACACAACTAGAGCTTTCTTTTGGTGGTATTTAATCATCGCTGGGGTTTTTATTTTTTGCTAAATTAACAAAAAAAGACCAAAAATTTTGAAAAAAACACGTTTTTCTTTGTTTCTGTTATAAAAGTTTGCAAATAAATAATTGTTCTTCATAAATTTAGGCCAAGATGTATTCTGCTACATGTCTTTGGTGAAAATAACCCAAATTAGGATGTATTTTTTAGTTTGTAGGAAAGTTATAGAGTTCACAAACTATGGTATAGATCTGAATATTGATCAATCCTGAAGTACTGACAGCCAATCTAATTTCTTGAGGTCCAAGAATGTCAGAACAGTACAGATATCCCCAAATGACCCCTTTTTGCAAAGTAGACAGTCCGACGTACTTCATAAGAGGCATGGTGAGTTTTTTGAAGTTGTATTTTTTCTGTCATAATTTTTTAGAAAATGAAAAAATTTTAAAAATTAGTTTCACTATTTTTTTTTTTTTTTACATATTGTCACCAGTGCAGTACATCATAGAACTGGCATGGCGGTGATCAGGGACACTTTTTTTATTTATTAGTTTTTTTTTCTTTTTTTTAAGATTTTTTTTTTCATATTTTACTATGTCCAAAGTAGTACAATGTTACCATAGTAACATTGTACTACTTTGGGGAAGTAATCAGCCTTTTGTTTTTAACACAATTTGCTTATAGCAAAGAATTACTTTGCTATAAGCAAGCATTTACCTGAATGACATCGATTCATTCAGGGTTTTTTTTTTTTTTTTTTGTGCTTAGCTGTGATTTGGCCACAGCTAATCACATGACATGTGCATGTGACCATTCACAGCTAGACACTAGTATACAATGGATGGCATGAATGAAGCCATCCATTGTATACAACTGTCATGTGACCTGCTGTGATTGGTCACAGCAGGTCACATGGTACCGGCAATGGGGGCCAATACTCAGATCTGTCATCGGCCGTGTCCGAGGTACACGGCCGGTGACAGATCACGCCGCTGCGCAGCTCTGCAGGAGCGCGATGTGCGCATGTGCGGGAGGACACCATATGGCGTCCACCCGGAACGCTGATGACATTTGCCAGCCGCCATTCAGCCATAGGGCGGGCGGCAAATGTTTAATCTATGCTCACACAACAACAACAAAAAAAAGGCATTAGGTTCCTCCTAAAAATTAAACACCAGGCCCTTATCGGAGCCTTCAGACCCCCACAACCACCGGGCCAGGGTTGGGTGGAAGAGACCCCTGTCCTCCTTAACATGGAGCCGAGGTGCTGTGCCATAGGGAACCCTCCATGTTGAGGACATGTGGCCTGGCATGGTTCAGGAGGACAGCAGCATGCCCTCGTATGCACCTTTGCTGGCCAGCCAGGCTGCATGCTCAGATAAAGGTCTGGTGTGGGGACCCTTTACATGGATGATATGATTATGGGGGGGGGACCCCATTTTTTTATATTCCACCTACCCCGGATTCTTTGATTATATGACCGGGAATTCCCAGCCAGGTAATACCAGGTGACATCACCCTTAACCATTTATAGTGGAAGAAGAAAGCTGTCGGACATGGTAACCAGAGGAAAAACAGCAACGACATATCAAGTTCACCTCGTGTAGGACAAGCAAAAAGTCCTTGCAAGAGTTGGTGGGAACTCGTTATCCCTAGTCATGGAGACAACTAAGGTTTTTAGCTACCCCAGCAGCCTCTGATGAGGTCAGGGTCTGGTCTATAGTTTGTGATCATCCGAATGCTGGACTGTTTGTTTCTACTGCCGCTACATGAAAGCTTTCTGTCATTCGTTGCTAAGGAAGCAGCAGGTGAAGGAAGCCGCTGTACGCTTAGCAACCAGTGACATCACTAGGCCCCGTAGTCATTCATGTGCGAGGGGCAGTATCTGGGGGTCCCTTATTGTTAAAGGGGGCTGCTAGATTCTGATAAACCCCTACACTCAGACATCCACAACAACTGGGCCAGGGTTGTGGGGAAGAGGCCCTTATCCTCAGAAACATGGGGACAAGGTGCTTGTCGGGGAGTTCCCCATTGGATCTTTACACAGGTAGACCGGCTTTTAAGAAGCTTTAACCACCTCCCGTCCGGCCGTTGTATATAAATGGCCGAACGGTGGCAGTGCAGGGTTGGGTTGCTGTTTATAAACGGCCTCCCCGCCCCCTGCTTGTGCACGCTCCCTGGGAGCGCGCAGCACCACGATTCGTTGCCTGCTGTGTCCTCCGATCCGAGGTACCAATCGTGATCACTGATTGGCCAATCAGTGATCACATGCAGAGTAGTAAGCAAGATGTCACTTCTGACATCATTGCTTACTATGTGTGAAATCTGTGAATGATCACAGAGGTCACATGGTACAGGGCCAATCACAACAGCCTTGTACCATGTGACAAGCTGTGACCAATCACAGCTCTCACAGTATTTCTCAATGGCTGCAGGAATGCAGCCAGAGAGGAGGAGAAATTGTTTTTACAGCTTTTATGGGTGTAAAAGTAATCAGTGTAAAAAAAAAATCTTCATCACCCCCCACAAGTAGTACAGTTGTCACCATGGTGACACTACTGCTAGGGTGACAGTATGTAAAAAAAAACCCCAATAATATTAAAAAAGTTAAAAAAAAGTTAAAAAATTATAATTTTTGATTATAAACTAATTTGGGGGTTTTTTTTTGTTACTAAAAACAAGATAACAGAATACATTTTGGCCAAGATTTATGATGAAATATTATTTATTTGCAAAATTGTATAAGAAAAACACTTTTTTCAAAATGTTTGGACTTTTTCATTTACATAGCAAAAAACACAAAAATTTCAGCAGTGAATAAATACCACCAAAATAAAGCTTTATCTGTCTAAAAAAAAATGCTAAAAAATTCATATGGGTACAGTGTTGCATGACTGTGCAATTGTTATTCAAAGTGTGATAGTGCTGAAAGCTGAAAATTGGCCTGGACAGGAAGGGGGGGAAGCGTCCGGACTGGAAGGGGGGGGGGAAAGCATCCGGACTGGAAGGGGGGGAAAGCGTCCGGACTGGAAGGTTGGGGGAAGCGTCTGGATTGGAAGTGGTTAAGCAGTACTGGAATCTACGACACAGGTGGCACTCCCACTAAGAACCGCCATCGGACTGGAGCTAAGGTTTTGCTAGGGCTTAAAGTTGTTGATCTATTGGCCTTCCAAGGAGACTACTTGCTTCCAAGCGAGATCCAGACTTCTCTTTGTATCTTCTACAGGCAGAGGTTGACGAAAGGCAAAAATGAATCCGCTGGATAAAAAAGGCCCTCACTTTGGAGGAGCATGGAACCACCCTGCTTTGCTGGACATTAGTGAGCCATCCCATACCTAGGTCCATGCTTTCTTTGTAAAGAATGATGCTGCCTGCTTTTGTAGGTGGGTCCCTTTGTTGAGGCTTTTGGTGGTCTTGCACCTTGGTGCTGCTTCACACCAGAAGTTCTACCATATAAGGTATTCAGATATTGGAGATGTGGTACTCTGGATTTTTTCCCTTCTCCTCAGAATAAGTTGTCAGGACAATGTGGGTGACTGGTAACCATAACTGGAATGTCTTCATATTAAGGCAGATCTTTGAAGTTCCACCTCCACAGATTTCGTCCCCTACCTTGGACCCTGAATACCCCAGGCTACCATTCAGGTGTTCTCTGCTGTATCCTTCCACTTTTTTGTGGTTAATCCTCTACCATCACATCCTGGAGATCGGGAACCATTTCCACTCTTTCCCGTCTGCTGAGAATATTTGCATTCATGTGTTAGAGGTGCTGAGGTACGGGGCCCAGGCCCAATATACCTGACGGCTCTTCTGTAGTAAAGTTGGACTACTTGCTGCTGGGTACATGCAATGAGGACAGTGATGGAGTGACCCGTGTCACCTATCCCACCACTACTTCAGCCTTCTTTGGATGACTGAGGCCATAGCAAAGCCACACGGGAAGGTTTTCATCAAGATAGAGAGGTTTTTGCCTGCAAATTTCTCGTAAGCAGTGCCACATAGTGAAACAATTAGAGGTTAATTATGACTCTGTAATTATTTTTGCTGCAAAAATCCCTCCACTCATCCAGTCATATATTTTTGCCCCCCTTGGTGGGAGTGGAGGTGACCCATCTATGAGGACATACAGTCCATACACACCCAACACATTGGTGACCAATGGAGAAGGACCCCCCTTATGTCAATGTAGTGGTCCCTTACATTGGTGACTAATGGGGAGGACCCCCTTAT